CCCTGCTCTACATAAAGTAACTCGTTACTTTACTCGTTACTTTACTCGTTACTTTACTCGCAGGGCCGACCCGCCCCTCCCTACAGGCAGATCACGCAGACTGCGGTGCACCTACAGTGTGCGCGCCACAGTTTTGCCTCTGCGAGACTCCACTTGCACCCCCAATTACTATTGCATTAAGGAAGACATAACACAAGTCTTTCTTTTTATATGCTCTCAAATAGGCTACCAGCCACACAACAAGCTAACAGTCTGTGAAACGTCAAGACACTAATTAATGAAACCAGTTCAAGACGCATTATTCTTATCATTCTTTATGAGCGCATAACGGTAAGGTATCTAATTACTTATTTATTTAGTATTCCATAACTTAGTAACAGAGATGGTCAAACTAAAGTGGTAGAGACATGGCAGAATTCCTACAATGAAGCGGGACATTGAACTGTTCACCCGTGAGAGGGCGATCAACAAAAGAGAGCGAGCGGCCCCGTTGAGGGAGTTTACAGATGAAAAGACTCAGCCATGTTTATGCAGCACTGCACGTGGAGATGTGGTCTCGCAAATCGCGCAGATTACATAGGCCTACATGTAAATAAACCTGCGGCGGAAACCCCTCTTGTCTGTCAGTGAGTGTGATTATTTTATAAAAGTAACGAAGTAACGCGTGTCGGGGCAATGTTAGTAACTGTAGTGTGATTACTAAATTATAAAAGTAACGCGTTACTGTACCCCCGTTACCGACAAAAGTAATATTATTACAGTGACGCGTTACTTTGTACCGTTACACCCAACTCTGATCAGGTCACACGCATATACAGTACTATATACTGTATAAATATATACCTGTGGGGGAAACTTCTGTGTAGCAATGCAGTGGGAGTCACCGACTCAAAAGAGACACGGGGACACTGATGGTTTATTTAGGAGCTTCGGCCGGAGAATTCACAAAACAAGTCACGAGTCAGAGGTTCTGACTTCACGGTAGAGTTGCCACGTCAATTCTGAAGAATTCTACCCCAGACCCGTGTGTTTAGTTCAGAGAGAATAATCAACATTGTGCATAACAAGATAGAATGATGATAACACCTCTATCAGCTGACGCCAACAGGCAGGAACAGGGAGACAAAACACTGAGAGCACAGCAGCCAAGGTTACAGGTGCCTGTGCTCAGTCAGGAGAGTATGAGCTGATACACTGGGTCAAAGTTATGGGCCTTGGAAATTATTTCCCCAACAATACCTAAATGCATTATCCTTTTGTTTTATTCTTTGTCATTTGCTATGCTTTCTTTCAAATGAGTAAATAATACACAATGCTGCTACCGCTCCTGTAGGTTTGAATTGCCCTGACTGTGGTTACACTCACACTGCACAAAGAACACACACACACACACACACACACACACACACACACACACACACACACACACACACACACACACACACACACACACACACACACCACACACACACACACACACACACACATACACTCACACAGACAAGATCCACACTTCCGTTTTCAGAGTAACACACAGGGTGTTAGCCTCCACACCCTCATCACACACTGGTCAGCGATCAGGCTTTGTGTGTGTTTGTGTGAGGGTGTGGTTGTCAGTTTGAGCAATTCAGTGTTAAGAATATATTCTACATTTAGGTTGTCAAAAGAGCAACACAGATCAAACAAAAATAAAACAGTCATATTCTTAATCTTCAGTGTCATTGACATCCTGAAGTGTGCTTTCAAGCTTCCACATAGTAAATGTTCTGCATCTGATGTTACTCATATGTTCATCATGCTCTTATACAGGGAAAGACTTCACTGAATCATTTGGTTATTCACAGGATGAGTGTCTTCCTAACCATTGTTTTTGACAGGGAATCTTCTGATTTCCAAATATTGCTAGACGGATAATAGAGGGGTGCAGTGATGACGTATGTTTTGTAGGCCGACCCGGAAGTAAGCTGCTCAAGGATTTTGGAATATTGTAAAAAATAAGATCTGTGGAATGAACGTTTTGTTGAGCCGGATAATCTCCACACGTCTACCCAGGGCCGGCCCTCCCTACACACAGATCACGCAGACTGCGTGGGGCCTCACCTCGCGGAGGGGCCCTCACCTCGCGGAGGGAGCCTCATTTTGCGGAGGGAGTCATGCCAACTTGAGGTCGATATTCAAAAATACAGATTCAAAATTGTACAAGTTGAAGCATTTGTTTGAACAGTTTGCAAGAGCGCAGGTACTTGTTTTCAAGCAGAACAGGGCAAACAAACTTAGCGGGAGTGTTTACGTGTTCAGCGTAATGACGTACAACGTCCTCGACAACTTCTGTAGTCCTATTCAGCCGCTTGGTAACAAAAACTAGTTAAAAAAAACTAGTTAAAAAAAACCATTGACTCTGAGACGAGGGAACAGGACCTGAGATGGTTATGTTAGCGTAGCATAATCGCGCTGGACGGCTCTGCCTAAAGCTATCAAATATGGCTAGAACACCTCACCTACTAATTAACATCACATGATCTGGAGTTCCTTGAGAAACTTCCAAAAGTCATTGTGCCCAGCAAGTATCAATCCAACCCGTAACCCAGTTGCAACCAAAAATAGTTGTACGAATTAGCAAGTCTAAGAGGTTTGGTATGAACATTGGTCAGAGACTGAAATAGGCTTGCTATTACTTTCAAGTCTTGATGCCAGACATGTGACTCAAGTCAATCGCTCCAAGTAAAGTGCCAAGTTATTGTTTTTTGGTGTCTTCATGTCCAGTTGAGTCCTTAGAAATGCCCAGTCCTGTCACAGGTCAACTCAGACACCGTAGAAGAGAAACCTTAACCTTAAAGACAAAAGGAACGTTTTCCTAACCCTAACCAAGTTTGTTGTGCTAAACCTAGAACATTATTTTAATAATAGTTTTGAAAAGTGATCTACACTGAAACTTAACTTAAAGCTTGATAGTCAATGTAATGTTACAATGCCAACGTTTTATTTATGTGATTGGGTTGATTTGTGACATAAATGCAATCAGCACAATGCCATTCCCAGTGTGCGCCTGCATATTGTGTACTGAAACAACTTGAATTGTCAATTGAAAATGTTGAAAATGTTGAATATATAAAGTTAACTTAAACAAGTGATTCTAGTCTTCATGTTTAAATTGATTCAAGTCAGTCTTTCACCTCCAGGTCCAAGTCCCAATCATTTTTATTGTATGTCAAGTCGATTTGCAAGTCATTGAAACATTGACTCGAGTCGATTCAAGTCCACATCCCTGATTGATGCTAAACTAAGATAGTAGTTTCCTGCAATAGCTTCATATTCAGCTTACAAACATGACAGATGTATGGATCATTACACTTATCTTTAGGCAAGAAAGTGGATAAAGTACTTCCCAGATGTGAAGTAAAAATGTAATCTTCCAAATCAACTAGCTAATCAGTTCATATTTGTAAGTAAAGAAAAACGACTCCTTTACAAGTGCAGTCCTGGGTTTAGTTGGGAGATTGAGCCCTATTCTTAGCTCTTGTCTGGAAAACTAGTGTGTGTGTGTGTGTGTGTGTGTGTGTGTGTGTGTGTGTGTGTGTGTGTGTGTGTGTGTGTGTGTGTGTGTGTGTGTGTGTGTGTGTGTGTGTGTGTGTGTGTGTGTGTGTGTGTGTCATTGGTCACCAGAAACAGGCACACACTCTAGGACCATTTTTGGTCCTTGCTCCCTTTCCATGGTCTCACTGTCATCTTGCCCTTCAGCGAGGTTCAGCTCAGACACAGCAAAGTCTGGAGGAGATTCAGAAACGGAAGGACGAGACGATAGGTTGTTGTTGCCGAGCTGATAGATGACCTTCACCTTCCTCACTGACACACCAAGGAGTGGCCACTTCCTAATCAGAGCAGGGGTCAAGTGGCTGTGTTTGCAAAAGGATGTTATTTCATCATTTGTAGACTCCATGTGTGTTTATTGGGGTAGGTCAATTCCCAGATAACTGACTTTGAATTCACAAAAAAAATGTAGAGCTTAAACAGCAGCTTCTTAAGCAAACTAAAATCAAAGAGATGTGAGTGCTTCAAAAAGGACTTATCAGGCATATATAACTCTCACAAATCCCTCAGGATGTTTAATAAACCGTGTTATGTTCAGTGACGTTAGAGCAGACTTCTGAACAAGGTTAGGATTCCTCAAATTCCCGAGCTAGAGAACAACATTTGTTCTGCATTATCAGCTGGGAGTTCATATATGAGCTCATTGCTCCTTTTTTAAGAATTAGCAAGTCGGGCACAGAGAAGCAGGGACTGTATGCATATATAATACAATAGTGACACCTGAAGGCCATTTTGTGGAGTGCATCAGGAGTCTCATGATCTGAAACATTTGGATGTGGATCTCCTTCCCTGGATGGGGAGGCAACAGTTTTTTTTTGCAATACTTTCTTCTATTTCTTTTTCTATTATATTGCAATATTGTCATAGTGTTTGCTTCATTTACAGCACATGTAATGCATTTTACTTGCACTATGTGTCACTCGCACCATTATTTGCAGCATGTTATTTCTATTTAAAAGGCCATTTTTAATTATGTTTATCTCATTATTTGCTTTTATATTGGCCCTTATTCACCTATGCATATAGGCCTATGTTTCATTAAAGGGGAAACTGTTTACACTATTTGTATCATTGTGTTGCAAGGAATCAAACAGTATGTCCATATTTTGTACTGTAAAGAGAAAAGCCGGAGTATACATGTTATGATTTGGTGGATGTAAGGGGGACGTCTCCCCAGGGCGTGTTGTTTAAAACTACAATTCCCAGCATTCAGTTTAAACTAGACAACTGAAGGTTCAATTATTTTTTACTACACTATATTTAAATATATTCATTATATTAGTGCTTTTATATCCGTGTGATTTAATTCTAGAGCAAAAATAATGTGTAAGTTAATATAAATTATATTTCCGCACAGGCATTGCTCTTATTACGCAGCGGAAGTCGGCTTGTCTTCCTTTCCTCCATTAGGTGAGTACGTGGTGGGAGCGTGGTTTCTCCGGCTCTCCCTCAAATAGACTGATTTAAAGTTATTTTAAAGATATACTGGTCTCGTTTTTACTAAAAACAAATTCTTACTTGTTGATTTATAGATTGCAACCATGGGCCGCCGTCCAGCCCGCTGGTAAGTCCTGTCTTACATATTTTCTTTGCTGGGCCGGTTTTGTCTCACTCGGAGGAAAATGGCAGCGGCTCCGTTAGCACCATGTGCACTGTGCTAGCATACCGACTAGCCGTGTCGACACACCTCCAGTTTTCTTATTATATTATCTGAAAACATGTCTCTGCTACACGACATGTGTAGACATTGAATTCCTGTCTTAACCCACCGTGTTAAATGCACTTTCACTATTGCAATGCTCTAAAGCTAACTTGGAGAGCTACGTGAGCTAATGTCAATTAGCATGAAGCTAGCGCGAGCACATCAATACCAAATACAGCCGAATTTTAACGTTTTATTAATGAAAGTCACAGTTTCATCTTAAGCACACCACTGTACCATTACCGGTTTAAGTTTCAATTAAGTAATTATAGCAATATATCAGTGGCAAGTGTCTTAACATCAGAAAGGTTGTGACATTTGGTGCTGTTCCATGCGAAAACTGGACTATAATAATGTTGACCTGATGGCCCCTTGGCATCTTGTCAACAACGACTATGCTGTGTTATTCAATCATACGGCTGTCGTTGTTCTATTGTCCTTATAATGGCTTAATAATTATTACAGCTAATACAAACCTTATATTTATTCCTGTTTCATAGGACTCCATTGTTGCCGAAACTACCTCTTTTAAATTAGAAGGAACCACTGTTTGCTTGGGAGACATTATACTCATTAATAGGAATAGACCAGCAACACATACTTAGTAGGACACATTGTATATTCAATCGCTGAAAGTAGTACCCAACAAATTATAAAAACCTATAATACAATCCTTATAAATACAAAGTAAAAAATGATGGCCTTGCTGTCTGGGAGTGACTCAAAATACAATTACAGTTCTTTAAAGCTGTATCAGGCATCTGGTGTTTGCGACAACGTAGGCTTAAACACATTTATTAGAAATGTGTTTGGGGTGAATGGGCTTCTGCCAATCATTTTAGTCAGTGTTTCAGGCCCTGAAGTTAAAATGCTGAGGCATCCTTGGGCAGGATAAATAACCCCAATTGGCTCCTGTGGGCATGTCTACGTTTATGGAAGTTGCTTTTGTTGTATCTGCCAAATGACTCATTATGTAATAACCTTAACCATGAATTAGTTTTGCAAACACAGACTTTTGTAGGTAAATGGCTCAAATGAACTCTGTCTCCACAGCTATCGCTACTGCAAGAACAAGCCTTACCCCAAGTCCCGCTTCTGCAGGGGTGTGCCTGGTAAGCTGTTTAATTCTTTCAGCGTTTAAAGTGACTGCTTGTTGCCAACATTCAGTTTTAGAAATCCCTGCAGCTTATTAAGCCGACCAGTCGTGCTGTCAGTGCGTTTCTGGTGTGCAAAGGCTGCACACAGTGAATCTTTGGTTTGTGTATGAACTCAGCTGGGAGGTGCTGAGTGCTTTAAGGGACCACTGAGACAAAATAATCAATCTGATTTACGGTCAAAAGTCTGATTGGATCATTTGAAACCTTTTTACTAATGGTTATTTTCTGTTTGTAGATCCCAAGATCAGGATCTTCGACTTGGGCAGGAAAAAGGCTAAGGTTGATGAGTTCCCCCTGTGTGGTCACATGGTGTCAGATGAGTACGAGCAGCTGTCTTCTGAAGGTGAGGAGCGAACCACACACAAAGATGTACATGTGACTTAAAACCTTGTGTCTGAGGTTCTAACATGGTGCACTCTACATTAGTCCTTAACCAAAAACTCCTTCCACTGCTGTACTCCAGCATTTAATAAAGTGTTTGGAGAAAAACACTGATTTACTTTAAACCTTCTTCCAAGGTCTTCAGTTGCACACAAGCTAACATTGCATACATTATTATCCAGATGTTCATTTGGGCAGTAAAGTTATATATTGGCCTGGAGTGGGTCAATGTTTATGTAATGCAGTCCTTTAACATGCCTTATTCAAGTCAGGGGTTCAAATCCACCCTGTATACTTTTGTTAACATTTTTAAATGCTCCTCACAAGAAAGGAAAGCTAAATATCAGATTCAAAGGAGTACCAAAAAAAACAGTCGTCCACAGATGTCCAGCCTAAATTGTGCTTTAGAAATCCCTGCAGCTTATTAAGCCGACCAGTTGTGCTGTCAGTGCGTTTCCGGTGTGCAAAGGCTGCAGACAGTGACTCTTTGGTTTGTGTATGAACTCAGCTGGGAGGTGCTGAGTGCTTTAAGGGACCACTGAGACAACATACATCTATCTGATTTACTCTTAAGTTTTAATTGCAGGAATCGTCTGTCTGATTCACCCCTCCCCTCTCACCCCTGTGCAGCTCTGGAGGCTGCCCGTATCTGTGCCAACAAGTACATGGTGAAGACCTGCGGTAAGGATGGTTTCCATATCCGTATGCGCCTGCATCCCTTCCACGTCATCCGCATCAACAAAATGTTGTCCTGTGCTGGAGCTGATAGGTGAGTCTGTCTGTGAATGGAACACAATCATATCAATGATCTGTGGCTATGGGATAATTGGCATCTACCAATCAGTTGGTGGTTCAATCACCACCCTAGTCAACATGTTGTAGTGTCCTTGGGCAAGATGCTGAACCCTCATTTGCCCCTGGAGCAAGTTCTACAGTATTAGAGTGTATGTAACTCACATTGGAGGAAAGCTTTAGCTAAAATGACCTGTAACTGAATTAACTAGGATAGTGAGCATTCAAAATAAAGGATGTGATCAATTGGAATTTCGATTGGCTGTGCCTGTTAAAATGGTGTACTAATTTGTTAGGAGATATTTGTATTAACTCCCTTTGCTTTGGTCTACTTCTCATTGTCAGGCTCCAGACTGGAATGCGCGGTGCTTTCGGTAAACCCCTGGGCACCGTGGCCCGTGTGCGCATTGGTCAGGTGATCATGTCTGTGCGTACCAAGGCTGCAAACAAGGAGCACATTGTGGAGGCTCTGCGCAGAGCCAAGTTCAAGTTCCCCGGTCGCCAGAAGGTGAGCAACATGTCAACAGTGAAACCTCAGGGTTCTCATATTTTACAAGGGTCAATTATGTGGACCAATTGAAATATCTTGGATCAGCTGAGTCAACATGCATCCCTAACGGTGTCATGACTCAGCTCTGCAGCTTATTAAGCCGACCAGTTGTGCTGTCAGTGCGTTTCCGGTGTGCAAAGGCTGCAGACAGTGACTCTTTGGTTTGTGTATGAACTCAGCTGGGAGGTGCTGAGTGCTTTAAGGGACCACTGAGACAACATACATGTTTCTTAAAGGCCGTACTCATTTTCATGTGGTTAACCATTGTAAGTGAATTGACGGTGTTGTTGCCCTTTCCTTCAGATCCATATGTCCAAGAAGTACGGCTTCACCAAGTTCAACGCCTGTGACTTCGATCAGATGATGGCCGAGAAGCGTGTGATTTCAGACGGCTGTGGGGTGAAGTACATTCCCAACAACGGCCCCCTGACCCGCTGGAAGAAACTGCACGCCATCTAAAGCATCACCAGACTACCAATAAAACTGGGTTTGATTAAAAAAGATATCTTGGCCATGGCTCTGATTTATTTCTCAGGAATCCTACATTACATTGTTTTGTGGGGAAGGTAATGTTTACAATTGATAGAGTAATATGACTTTGGCTCAAAGGGCATTTACAATCTTATTTGTATTTTCTTCATGGTGTTAGAGTACCGTTCAGTGGTCATACTAAAACAAAGCAACACTCTGAACATGAAGATCTGATGACGTCTTTAGTATATATATATATATATATATTTAGTATTGCATAAGTGATACTGAAATGTGAGCATTTTGCCAGGGGTCAGATTTTGAACTGAATGTATTCATCTCAAAGGTCTGAGGAGTCTAATGAAACATGTAAAGAACAAACCCTTTATAGGAAACTTATTCCGGACAAAATCCATACCCTGTTATATATTTACAAAGAACTGTATATTAAAAAAATCAACAAATGCGAAGTCTCTTAAGCCGTGTGCCCTCCTTGAATTTTCAACCATTCGACCCCTTCGTGGCAAAATGTACATGCCCATAATAACTGCTATTAAATCATACATCAATATTATTTTCTACTTTTTTTTCCCATGAATCACAAACAATTTATTTTGTACTCAAAACTACCAAACATTCAATGTTCTGGATTTTAACCCTTTAAATGCCTGTTTAATTATTAGAATTACCTCATTATTTATGACCAAAAAAATGATTTCAATATAATAATTAGTAGAGGGATGGAACTTTGGCGCTTATTAGAGTCTTGGATGAGTCAAAGATTAGCAACCAAATTGATTTGACTGCATTATTATTTTGTACATAGTGTCAGATACTACCTCTGGACACCTTCGTGGCAAAGATGTACATGCCCATAATAACTGCTATTAAATCATACATCAATATCTTTTTCTATTTTTTTTGTTTCATGAATCACTTAAACAACTTCTAATGTACTCAAAACTACCAAACATTCAATCATTGTCAGGATGTTAACCCTTTAAAGGCCCGTTTCATTATTTGAATTATTTCATTTATCTCAAAAATGCCTCATTGACTTCCATTCAGACCACATTTTTTTATCTCACTGCCATTGCAGTATAAGACCATGCATTTTGTAATGTCAGCATTTCATTTAGACGAAAAGTAGTGATATTTGATATCTACTCTATTCCAGTGTTTCTCAAACTTTTTCATACAAAGGACCACTTAACCAATAAAAAAACACTCGCGGACCACTTAACTCCACAAATATCCAAAAACATCGTTTTTTACAAATCGCCTGAAAATGGTACAAAAAAGTGGCCACATGTGTGATGAAGGTGTTTATCTGGGCAAGAGCCGTATAATAGAAGAGTTACGACAACGGAAGTCCAAAAACGGTTATCGTCACGTGGTTCATGTAGACGAGGATCGTTCCCCGGAAGTTCATGGCGGGCAATGTGAATGCACTGATAACAGGAGATAGAACTACGATTTTTGGTAATTATTAGTGAATAAAGGTTTTGATTTGCCATATTTATACAACAAATTGATATGTGTATGTATTTACATCAATATGTTTTAAAAATAAAATAGAATTTGCTAATATTAAGGGATAATATTAGGATTAGTGTGAACAACTAGTTTACATGGTAGGCTAACAGTGCCTTGGTTAAAGAGCCTGTTGCTGTTTATTTATAGCTTTGAATTCTTTAAAACCAATATTATCTTCTTAAACTTGTATGGTAGTCAGGGGCATCACTTTCTAATGTTTATTGATATATTTAGAGGGAGGGGATCTAAAGTAATGCTTTAAAATTCAGATTAGATTAATGTCTACCATTTTCTTAAATTCATGGTAGTTTCAGTAATCCATGGTAATTGAGGACACAAGTTATCTAAATGACTAATGTCATCTTTATGGCTTTCAGAAAGGACAGGAGACCGACAGGTGACTATCAAAGGACTAGCAGCAGCAGCAGCATGATGATGATGATGATGTTAAATGTGTTGTTTTAGGAACATCCATTGCAAATACATGGAATTCAATAAACATTGAATAGCATATCATGCAGTTTGTCTGTGCCTTTTCCTCCGTGTTGTCCTGGTTTGCTGTGCTGCCTCCTAGTCGCCACCATGGTTTGCTGTGCTGCCTGGGGATGCTCCAATCGCTCAGAGAAAGGAGTACGAATGTACAGCTTCCCCACTGACACAGAGCGAGGAAAAATGGCTGGCTCAATAGCAGGAGCAATTTCACGACCAACAGAAACAAAATATGTGAGGTAATTATATACAAACACTGCATTTGCACTTTTTCACAAAACGAAAACCACACCATTGGGAAAGCTTAATGTTTTGTTTAATACAAAAAACAGGGAAAGGCTTGAAAAACACAGAGTTGAGACTCAGGGTGCAGGGTGAGGGTCTCAGTGCAGGTATTCAGGCTCCATTGAATCCCCCTCTGGTTCTTGTGCTGAAAGAGGGATAAACAGACAGGAGAAAGGGTTATACACACCTATATAGCACACCTATTGGATGGGAAATTGCCTTGGGGAGATAAGGTGTGGTCTTTGTTCCCAACTGAAGTTATGGAACTTTATTATTTGTGAATTTAATAAAGTATGACAAATGGCATCAGTAACAGATGTGATATGAATTTCTATAAAGTTGTCTCACATTCTTGGTCATATTTTATATACAGTATGTAATGAGTATAACATGTCCAGTAAGTATAAAGTGTTTCCTAATACTGTGTATTCAACCACTATGGAATATGTATGTGGGCAGACAAGATTCAGACACAGTTGTTCTGTGTGTGTGAAGTAACCTCAAGTCACTCCGCAGGCACATTTTGATGCAGACCAGTTTGTCAAGACAAAAAAGGGCAAGACTAGGCTGAGAGCAGAGGCTATACCCACCATCTTCGTGCATCGCCCTGTGGTCAAAAAGAGAAGGGCCCCTGCACCACGATTCACCCCGGGACCTGTATCTACAAAGCCCATAGCTCATGATCACAGCGATAGTGTGAAAGGTGACACAGGTATAATAAGTATGAACTCTTAGTAACAAAAGTAATATTTCTTATTTTTAAGTGGTATAATATTTTAAATGTTCGAACATTTACAGTGCCATGTCTTCTACTTACATTAGTCTCAAAGATTGAGGGAAGAAGGGATGAGGAGACTGAGAGAAAGGAAAGTGAGGGTGAAGAAAGAGAGGACATGGCTAGTGAGGAGAGACAGGGAGGGCGGACACCACCCACTCAGCCAGCAGCCAGTCAGCATACGAGGGAACCAGCAGCCAGTCAGCATACGAGGGAACCAGCAGCCAGTCAGCATACGAGGGAACCAGCAGCCAGTCAGCATACGAGGGAACCAGCAGCCAGTCAGCATACGAGGGAACCAGCAGCCAGTCAAACAGATCTATTACAACAATTAAAGAGAAAATTAAAGAGCCAAGAAGGAATCACCAAAAAAGCAAAGGCTGCACTAAGAAAAATCAGGAAGGAAAATGCAGCTCTCAAGAAAACAATGAAAATTAGGGACAAGAAATATAAGAAAACGTTTTCAAAAGACCAACTGAAGGCATTAGGCAGACTCACCACAAAGGGGATGAAATGGAGCAATGAGACAATTAAGAAGGCTTTAAAAATTCGCTTTGCGAGCGGACCAACGGGTTACAAAACTCTGCAGGAATTGAAGATTCCCCTTCCAGGAATAAGGACACTGCAAAGAAGGATGCAATGTGTTAAGGTTGAGCCTGGTGTGTTGACAGAGGTCTTTGATTTCCTAAAATGTAAGGCAGATAAATTGACAGACCTTGAAAGGGAGTGTGTGTTGACCTTGGATGAAATGGCAATCACACCAAGTGTGGAGTTAGACATGACTACAGGCAAACTGTACGGTGATGTGACTTTACCAGGTCACACAGGGGTGGCAACACATGCTTGTGTGTTTATGTTGGCTGGAAACACAACACGGTGGAAGCAAGTAGTGGCATATCATTACACTGGCAATTCTACCAATGGAGCAGAGTACAGGCCAATCATTATTGAGATAATACAGAGGGCAGCATCCATAGGGCTACATGTGCTTGATGTCACCACCGACATGGGTAGCCCTAACCGAGCCATGTGGAAATCCTTTGGGGTGGACCAAAATAAAACATCGGTGCCACATCCAGCAAAACCAGACAGGCAGCTCTATTTCATGCCCGATGTCCCACATCTGGTAAAAAATTAAAAAAGTGCCCTTGTCCGTGGGCAGGTCTTCATAATTCCTGAGGATGTTGTTAACAGAGAGAACCTCCCCTCTAACAAGGTTTCTGTGGTCCCCATTAAGGACTTATTGACCTTTCAGGAAGGGATGGCCTTAAAAATAGCTCCCCATCTTTCAGCTGCAGCCATCGAGCCAAGTCACTTTGATAAGATGAAGGTTGGTCTTGCTCTAAATGTGTTCAGTAAGGCTACAAGTGCTGGGCTGAAATACATGGTGCAGCAAGAAAACCGCCCTCTGTCATACCTGACGACAGCGTGGTTCCTGGAGCAGGTTGATCGTTGGTTTGATCTGATGTCATCTCGCCATCCAATTACAGCCCTGAGCAGGCTCAAGATGGAGGAGTACCAAAAGGCCATCACCTTCCTCCAGAACATCGTCCATCTGTTTCGTGGGATAAAGATAGGTCAAAAGGGAGGTTGGAAGCCTGTTCAAACAGGGGTGATAATGGCAACAACATCAATTTTGGCCATACAAGAGGAGATGCTTACACAAGGACACAGGTTTGTGTTAACGTCAAGGTTCACACAAGACTGCCTTGAAAATACATTCAGCTGTGTGAGGTCTAAAAATCCTGTCCCAACTCCAGTGGAATTCCATCATGCACTGAGAATCATATCTGTGGGGCAGTTCCTCACCACCATCAGCTCTGGGAGCTACCAGGAAGACCACAGTAGCTTTTTGGCAGACTTCCTGGACACAGGGGAGCCAAAAATCACTCCATCAGTCAGAGTGGAACAGCTGATGGCGGTGAACAGAGCAGCAGCACCTGACCTCACAAAAAC